TTAATAAACTCCTACCCCCAACATCTAAAAAAAAAAAGCCAGACTGAAAACAACAGAACCTGAAGCCACAATAGGACTGTCATCTCCTATGCCTGCGCTCCCCCTTCCCACCCAGCAGCTGGCTTCCCCTCTCACTGAAAGAGCTGGTGTCCTCTGGGGTGCCCTGGATGCTCCCATCGGGATTCGCCTGGAGGTAGAAACCCTGGCGGCAGAACAGTTTGGTGACGATGCCTTTGAGCTGAGGCTCTGGAGAGAGAGACATTCATCTTGGAACATGACATCTCTGTTCCCAGAAACATTGCTACACTTGGCGGGATCAGAGGAGAGAAAGAAAGGAGGATGGAGGGAAGGAAGAGGGTCCCAGGGCCCCAACTCCCTGACCCTCTAAGCAAGCTCTCTCCCACCTCTCTTTGACTCCAGAGGAAGCTGGGGTGTGGGTCCCTTCTGCTTCCTCTAACCAGCTTTCAGTTTAATTGATTGAAATGTATTTAATTCCTACTCTACAGCTCAACCAGAATGGGGGGAGGGGAGAAGAAGGAAGAGGAAGGGGAGAGATACATGGAAACGCAGAGGACAAAGGGAGACAGGCAGAGCTGCTGAAGGGGCAGTGTGTTTGCGAATGTGGGGGGCATTAAGGTGACCCCAGGGTAGGGGCGCCCCCTCAGGAGTGGGGGTGGGACTGGGCCTGACGCTGACTCAGCACCTGCTGCTGCGGCTGCCTCTCGCTTCGCGCGGGCCTCGCCTTGGCCCAGCGCCGGCCTGTCTGACACTGACCCATCTGTCTGTCTGTCTGTCTGTCAGTCTGCTGGCTCGCGGGGTCCCCGCCCTCCCTGAGGCTCAGCCTCTCCCCTTCAGCCAGGTAACCCGCCTGGGATGGGGGATATTCGGTACCAAACCAAGGAAATGGGGGAGGGGGCCAGGGAGCTGGTGAGGCAGGCTGACTCACGTGGGGGCTGGGTCCCACTCAAAGGGTGGGCTGCGGACCGTACCACTGCGGAGGGCCGGCGGCGGGGGGAGGAGGACGCCAGCGGGGGGTGGGGTGGGGTCTCCCCCTAGGGGAGCTGAGAGAGGACAGGAGCGAGGCCAGAGGGACTTCCCGCCTGTCGCACCTGGACGGGGACCACACGCTAACCCTCACAACTCTCCTCCCCCGGCGCTTGCGGCCGAGTTCCCGGTACCCCCTCGTAGATGGTACGACCCCCAGTCTCCGTGCGGGTATCCAGCCGTTTAGTGTGTCTGAGTTCCTCGCGGCAGAGGGTCCCCTGAGCCCGTGGGACCCGATTTCTGAGTCGCGTAGGCGGTCATGGGGGAGTGCCCAGCTCTCTTCTTGAAGTGCAGGTCACGGGAGGAGGGCGCACAGAGGGGCGGACTGGCGAGGTAGCTGCAAGGACACCCGGGGGAGAGCTGGGCAGATTGGTACCGAGCCAGGCAAGCTCGGCGAGGAGGAACGGATCCAAGGCTCGGAGGAGCGGGAGAACCGAGGCGGGGGCGGGGCTGCCGGAGCCGCAGAAACCCTCGGGGTGACCCAGGCGTCCGGAACCCCCAGGCCCCTCCACTCGGCATTGAAAGAATCGCGAGAGACGGCACGTAGGCAGAGGATGGTGGGGGTGGGGACTCCTGTGTTGGGAGGGGGGCCGAGCGGGAGCTGCCAGGCTTCGGGGCACCAGGCTTAGCCCCTCAAGCCTCCCCCTTGCCCTCGAAAGCAAGGAGACTCGGGGTTATGGGCGAGAGAGAAGGGAAACTGAGGCATCGTCTGGCCGAGAGTTTGTGGTCCAGGCCCACCCCCTTTCACTTTCGGGGAGCCCCCGTCAGTCGGGCCCCGCTCTTCCGAGTCCCTGGCCTCAACCTCCCAGGCAGAGAGACCCCCGGCCCGGAGACCCCGCCCCAGCCACTCACCCGGGCAGCGGTCCGGCCGCGCGGGCCGCCCCCCGCACAGTCGCACCTTGGACAGCAGGATGAGGAGCTGCTTCTGGCAAAGGGACTTGGTGCCGCGGGGACACACGCGCCGCTGCGCCGACACGGGCCGGCTGCCCCCGGGCTCGTGGACCTCCCGCTTCTGCCGGATCAGGCTGCTGGCCAGTGCCGCCATGGCGCCCCGGGAGGAGACACCCCAAAACCGGCAGGCTCCCGGAGCGCGCTGCCCCCCCCCCCCCGGAGAAGCCCGCTAGCTCACCAGGACATGCTGTTGACTCTCCGGTCCGACTCGCCGCCTCACCCACGGGACCTGAGGATAAGCCCTAGACGACCCCCACCCCAGGCACCAGCTCCCACCCTTGGGCCTCGTGCTAGCTTCGCCAGACCCAGCAGCCTATGTACCTCTCAGTTGACCCCACCCTCGACCTTTGCCCCCCGCAGAAAACTCCCCCTTCTCTGATCTCCAGTGTCCCTGTCCCCCACTAACACTATCCCAAAGCCAAGACCCTCAAATTTTCCAGGATGTGGTTCCAATATCCCCAGGCACCTTTCCACCCTATTTCCGGGACCTGCACTCCTGCCAAAGCCACTCTTGTAATTTTAAGGGTGTGGGGTCCTTAGCTTTGGGGATATTAGCTCACCCCACCCCTGCTGGGGTGTTGCCAGTGTCTAGGAAGAACCCAACCTTGGTGTCTTTGCTTTTGCCACCCTCTAATTGAAGAATCCCCCACTTTTTTTCACTGAAATCCCAAAAAAACTATGCCTTGAAATATCCAGACTGTCGCCAATCAGCAAGAAGAGGTTCCCAGACCCTGTCTCTGGACGATACTGCTTTTTACCAAGTCACCCCCAATTCTAGTGGCACAGCGTTCCAGCTGCTGAGCCCCCTTCCTCACCTTGTTACCATCCACTCCTTTTGAAGTCACCTCCAAATCCGCCCTTCCTAGTGGTTACACCAGGTGGTTGTCTGGAGGGCCCTCTGTCACCTCGGAATAAGGAGCATAGGTTTTTGGCTTTTTTTTTCTGGCAGCCCCTAATTTCCTCGGGGACAGCTGGTGCTGTTTAGATCCCACGCCCTCCAATCCAACCAGCCCCCCGAGAGAGGAGTGCACCCACGTTGTCACGGGTCCCCAAATGTGAACAGACCCGCTGTAAGTCAGAGCGCATCAGAGCTTTCTGCGACAGGGCTTCCTTGTCCTCCCCGGGACTGCCTATAGCACCCCCTCTTCCTTCCCCGACGCCCCTCAACCTGTCCTGTCTTGTCGATCCGGGGTCGGCTGGCGCTGGCTCCGGTTCCAGGCTCCTCCCACCCTGTACCCCGCAAGCGGAGCTTCCCCCCACGCCCGGCTAGGCGTCCCGGACCCCAGGAAGGATTGAGGGTGTCTCCGCAGAGCGCCCTGGTCTGGCGAAGTGAGCTGTGGGCCTGGCGGCTGGGCCAAGCGGAGAGGCGGCAGCGGAGGCAGCGGTAGCGGCTGTGGGAAGCTGAGGCGGCGGCGGCGACAGCGGCTCCCCTCTCCTCCGAGAGCCGGCCCGGGGGCGGGGCAGGGGGCGGAGACGCCGGGAAAGAGTGGCGGGGGTGAAGCTGGGCGGGCGGAACCCCGGGGTTCCTTGGAGGCAGGGAGTGGCGAAGGTCTTAGAGACAGGCGGAGCCGAGGCAAGGCCGCATGTCTCGGGGTTCAGAGGAGGAGGGACAAGGAGGCGACTCCACTGAATGGAACTCTGGATGGGGGGAGAGGTTGGGCTTAGATAGATGGAATGGCGGATACCCCGAGAATGGAGAAAGGGACCCTATTGCCCGGGATGGAGGACAGAACTGGATGAGGAAGGTGGGGGGGGGGGGATAACTGAAGAGATAGCGGTGGTGGTGAAGTCTAGCCTGGGGTGAAATCCGGCCTCCTTAATGTCTCTGCTTTTGTGTGAGACAAACTGTCAGTCCCTGGTCTCCATACCTTTCTCCTTTACACGTTTTTTCAGCAAATATATTACCTCCATCCCTATTGACTCCTAAGAGAAAAGACCATAAGAACTGGCGGGAGATGGATGCCAGACGCTGCACCGGAGTGGGAGGGGTGCTGGCCACAGATTTGGAAAGTGGAGAGGCCAGAATGGAACGACCTGTGCCAGGGATGGGGCGGGAGGAGGGTAGGAGGACGCGGAGGAACCGGCGAGGAGGCCTTCTAGAACGGGCTCTTCAGGCCCAAATCGCTCAGCAGCCTGTCTCCCAGGTGAGGGGAGAGCAGTCCCCTCCACATCCCGCTGGCCAACAGAAGCACATTCGAGGTTAGTAGGAACAGCGTCTTTAATGGGCCCCGCCTCCCACGCCGGCTAAGCCGCCTCCCTTGCGTGCAGCCTTGGCCTCTTCCACAGCGGCGCGTAGGGCGAGGGCAGGGTCCCTGCGAAGCAGGGCCAACGCCCCGAGCAGCGAAGCGGCGCCGTCCCCCGCACGGAGCTTTTGGCCACTCAGAAAATAGTGGGGCAGCGTCCCAGCCTCGAGCACCCGGCCCAGCTCATCCAGCAGCCCGAGGCAGCAGGCGCCCGCATTCTCGGGTCGCGCCAGATAGAGCGCGGGCAGCCGCTCGCACGCCCAGTAGAGCAACGTCCGCAGGAGGTAGGGTGCCGCGACCCTAGTCCCTGCCACCAGCGGGCGCAGCAGCGCCTGGGCCGCCGCGTGCGCTTGCAGCAGGGGAACGGGTATGCGCGTCTTGAGCGCCAGCTCTTGGCGGGCGAAGCAGAGCTGCCAGCCGGGGGCGTCCGGCCGCTCTGTGCCGCCGCCACCGGGCACCAGGTAGAAGGAAGACGACTCCGAGGCCAGCGGGCCGGCCCACGAGTGGCTCCGAGCCCCCTGGGGCCAGCCGGCCACGGACACCACGGGGATCAAGTCGAAAAGCAAGAGGCGGCGCGGGGGCCCGGGCGTAGCCACGAGGATGGTGGTGACCCCCGCGTGGCGGGCTGCGTGGACCAAGCGCGGGGCACCCGGGACCGGAAACAGGGACTCAGCGACCGCAGCCAGTGAAGCAAAGAACCAGGCAGCCACCTGGGCGGGGCACAATGTGGGCCGTGCCTCCGGAGCCTCCGACGGCTGTGGCACTGGGCTAACTTCGGCTGCTTTGGTGACGTCACCATTCGTTTTTTTCAGTGGTGAGGGAAAGTCAACATCGGTTACGTCTTGTTGAGGCAACTCTGGCACTGAAACATTACTAGGTGAGTTTTCCAAAGACTCGTGTGCCTCAGGCTCAGTGACGTCACCGTGTAGCTGGTCCACGGAGATTTGCGGATCCTTGGGAGTTTCTTTGCTTTGGGCTGGGTGGATCGAATCACGTCCTCCTGGGACTGGGGGTCCTAGGCAATCCTGCCATGCCTCCCGGACCGAGGTTCCGCGTACCTGCTCTGGGAGGAAGAGCCATGCGTAACAGGATCCCACGTCCGGTTGCAGCTCCTGCCCAGTGCCATCTAGCGAAAGCACGGGCACCAGGAGTGTGAAGCCGGCGTCGTAGTGAGGTCCCCGAGCGTAGGGACCTAGAGGCGCAGGCCCCAGATCCAGGGAGCCCTCGCGAATCCCGCCACGAAGCAGCAAGAGCTCTGCCTGAGGAGGAAAGCGAGGGTCCCGGCGGTGAACGAGACCTAAGGAAAGAGAAGGGATCGTAAAGGCGTGATCCAGACCCGGGGCGGGGTAAAGCGGAGCTGAGAGCTGCAAGTTCCCGAAGGCTGGGAGGGTTACTTACCAAGCAAAGAGAAAACAAAGTCCTTGGCCTGGAGGAGATCTGGTCCTGGCTTGGGACCTTCACTCCAGCTCGCCTGCACACCCAGCTCCTGGATCAGCTGGGTTAGTTCTTGCAGCTGCGCCCCAGAGCAGAAGTCAATGTCCGTGAGCGGCCGGGCTGGGGCTGGGGGCGGTGGGCCCCACCAGGGAGCACTCCCCCAGACCGCGGAAGCCATATGGCTCTGTCGTTTGGGGGCTAGGAAATACACAGACGGGAGGAAGCCCAGACGGGCCGTACCTTTTGCTGCGGAAAACTGGCCCCCGTTCTTTTCTCTTCCAGAGGCCAAGAGGGTTCCCAAGACACAGTCCGCCAATGGGTCTGCAGACGAAGGGCCCTAAATTCAGTCTTGAAAGAGAACAAATAAATACCTCCTCCGTCCTTGCCCTTTTCTCATATGCTGGTCCCCGCCCCCATGGAACGGTTCACCTGACTCAGCAGGTAGAAAGTAGCTGTTTGGCCCCTCCTAAGGAATGCAATAGCCTCCTTCGCTGCCCCTTGTCTACGCCCCCTTACCTCTTTTTCAGAAGAGGCTAGTGGCTTGCGGCTTCCCTCTTAGGGTTAGCTACAAAGGCTGGGAAGAGAATGGATAGGAAGATTCAACAGGTAACTTCTTCCTGCTGCCTGCAAGGTCACGCCCCTAAATTATAACCACGCCCCTTTCTGGAGACTGTCGGGGTGGTTCCGGACCAGCCCGGCCTCCAGTCAGAGTTCAGTCACTCCTTTCGCTCTGCAGAGATCTCGCGGCTATCCTGGGAGTTGTAGTTTGTCTTCAAAGCTACCAGGGCGTTGGGGCCACGCCCCCACATCCTTTCCTGTTCCGTTGAAGTAGTGCCTGATGGAAGTTGTAGTTTCTATGGAGATAAACTATTCTGTGTCTTTATGATAAACTATTCTGTGTCTTTACAAGGCCAGGTGAACCGCACAAACACTCCTTGGGGTTAGAACAGAGGCCTAATAGGATGGATCTGAATAGCAAACAATAATGACGGACGTACACTAGGGCATGCGGAGAAATAGGGGACTCTACATCTCACTTGGGAGTAGAGGAGCCCTGGTCATTTAAATCTAGAAGGGTTCTTGCATGCAATTATAACTTCATTTTAGAGATGAGACTGCAAGCCTAGAAAGGTTGCACATGACTTGTCCAAGGTCAGAGCTGAGCCACAGAGCTGTTGGAAATGGGCTCTCCAGCTGGGACGTATCTCCTTGGAATCGATGGTGGTAATGTTAGACAAGAACACACCGATAGTGTGCATGTAGTGACCCAGGGATGGACATCTGACTCATGGAAGGGACATATTAGCGTTGCCCACCTCAGACACACAAATGGTGGCAGGGAAAACACTTTGGAATCTCGCAGCTTATGTGTGTATACAGAAGAGTTATCAGGACTGAAAATCAAGTCCAGAGGAAACTCCAGCTGGGCTAGGGCAGGGCAATGAAAAATTATCAGGGGAAGGAAATGGCTTTCAGCGACCAGTGCTATCAGGGACACAGCTTAAGTCCAGGATGAAACTAGGAGCCAGAATAGGACAGAAAGATAGGACACCAGAGACACGCTCACAGATTAGACCAATGCATACTGGACCAGGAATTCTTACATGCCTTTTTCCCAGGGGTCTGTCTCCACAGTGAACTAGGCCTAAGTCCATGGGCAAGAAAATTAAGTGGAGACACCTCGAAAAATTGAGAGGTCTATGAAGGAGGGGACCCTCAGAATCCAGGGCTCAATTTGGGGAGCCTAAAACACAAGGTTTCCTAGTCACTGACAAAGAGAGGTCTTCTCCCTCAGTAACCAAGAGCCCCAAACACAGCCCAGAACGGGGGAGGCAAGTTTCCATACATCTGGTCGTGACCCAAGAGACCAGATGAGGAAAACTGAAGCCTGGGCTCTTTCTCACAGTCTGGGGAAATCAGGCATTGGGTGTCCATCCCCACATCCTACCTCCTCCCCAGAGGGTGGCTTCTGAGCCACCCTAAAAAGAGCTAAGTTCTCTGGTCTCTGGGGGAGCTTTAAGATGCCGGGGGTGGGTGACAGGGAAAGGAAAATTGCTCTAAACTCTAAAGCACTGCTCTCCAATAGCATTTTCCATGGTGATGCAAATGTTCTAAATCTGTGCCGTCCAATGCAGTAGCCACTAGCTCCATGTGCCTACTGAGCACTTAGAAGATCATGGCACTGAGGAACAGAATTTTTTTTTTGGCCAAGCCATGAAGCTTGCGGGGTCTGAGTTCCCTGACCAGGGATTGAACCCCAGCCACAGCAGTGAAAGCGCCAAATCCCAACAACTGGACCGCCAGGGAACAGAACTGGATGCCAGGGAAATTCTGTTCCCTGAGGAAGAGAATTTTTAACTTAATTTTTAACAGAATTAAATTTCCTTAATTTTAACTAATTTACATTCTAATAGGCATTTGGCTAGTGGCTACTGTAATTGACAATGCAGCTCTAGGGCCTTGGGGATAACGGATTTAGCTAGACAGCGATGGAAGGAAAGCAGGGATAGTTTAGGTCCTCATCAGGCCCTGTGGGATGGGGCTGGGGTGGATGTCCTCAATAACCACAGATCACTTCTCTTGTCTCTTTACTCCTCATGCATATCTGTCCCCTCTTTTTCTAAGTTGCTCTGAGCACACTGATATCCCCACTCCTTGATGGTCTCCGGTGAGTTGTTGGATGTCTCTCGGTGAAGGCGCCTGGGAGACAGCGCACTTGTCCCTGCCTGCTCTGAACTGTCTCTGGCGGACGCCAAAGACCACATGCCCTAGCCGGGTGCCTGACCCAGGACAGTAGGGCTTCCAGCTGGCTTTGGGAGGCGTAGACATCTGGCGATAGTTCTGGCAGGCTGGAGGAACTGTATCCATGGGCTGGTACACCCAGTCTTGGCTGCCTGCTCGCCGGGAGGGTGATTGCAGCTCAATCAGTACAGGTACCTCTGAGAAGGTTAGCAGGTCATTGTAGGCCACCTGAGCCTTGGGAGAGCAGGAGTTCTGACTGGGTGGGACAGAAGTCCATGGTATGTGCTGCCCAGCATCCTCCTTTCGACGAACTGCCTCAGATATAAATGACTTTCGGGTCTGATGTGGGCCCAAAACTTGGACAGAGTCAGTTCCTAGAGGGTTCCTGTGGAGGCCAGGATTTGGGATAAGGCATGAGTTGTTATGGAGGCCTGATCTCTTGGATAAGCCAGAGTCTTCAGTAAGGGCTGGACCCTTATGGGGGCCAGGATCTCGATTAATTCCTGAGTGCTGTGTAAGCTAGGGTCATGGGTATGTTCTGAGCCCCTGTAAATTCCAGCATCTTGGGTAAGGCCTGGAAGCTTGTGGAGGCCTGGATCTTGAGCAAGGCCTGGGTTCTTGGGGGAGGGCTGGGTTTGGGGTAAGGCTTGGGTTTCTGGAAACTCTGCAGACTTTGGAAGGGCCTGGGGTCCTTGGGAGGACAGAGCCTTGGTTGAGGCCTGGAAGTCTTATGAAGTCCAGGGGGTTGGGCCTGGCTTGGGGTTTGGAAAGTAGTGGATAACTGGGGAGGGATGGGGCCCTGGGAAGAGAGGACAGACCGAGGAGACTTGGAGGTTGGGGGAAAGGTGGGGGGTTGTATTAAGGTGGAGGGCTTCTGGTGGTTGCTGTGTTGATGAAGGACCCATGATCTGGGAGAAACAAGAGGCAGATAAAGAGTGCATGGTGGAGGCATGGTGCATGGTGAGCTCTGGGCACTGGTTCGAGAATGGAAACAAGGTTGAGAAGGTGCAGCATCCTTGGAGTACAGGAATGTGGGGTAGACTGGAGTCTGGGTGTCCGTGTTTCTCTTCTCAGACCTGCAAGGAAGGAAGCCGCAGTAGGGAAGGTCTTGGACTGTACAAATTTGTCTTTGGCATCATTTGAGATCTTCCATTCCATATTCCCCAACTCCAGGTAACCCAGTATGGAACCTGTGGAGGGCTTAGCACTGTCCCCACTACATTGCTTGAGTGTTCAGCCGTACCAGAGCTCACCAGACCATGCCTCTCTTGGGGCCTGGAGAGGGTACCCAAGTCCTTTCTGGAATACCCAGAGTTCTGAGGGGGACACAAATGGAATAAGTTCTGCTTTACCCTGCGGGCATCGTAGACCACACGGCTGGAGGAGAGGCCTTGGCTGAAGGCAGACAAGGTAGAGGGAATAGAATCTAGGATGAGGGTAGGGGTGGTGGAAGGGACTGGAGTGGTTGTCAGGGCCATGACCAGCACTAGGACAGAGGTTGTGTCAGAGGTCGGGACAGGGGCTGGTGTAGGGACTAGGGCAGGAGTAGTAGCAGGGGCAGAAGTTGGGGGAGGGACCAGAGTGTTGGCATGGGTATAGGTCAGATGAGCATGGGTCAGGGTGCAGACAGATATGTGGCCCAGGGACAGGGCTGAGGCACGTGAGGGGGCCTGGGCTTGGGCCTGGGCTGGGGTATGGGCTGAGGTATGCTCAGGGCCCTGGACCTGGGCAGGCCTGTGCTCAGGGGTGAGGGCTGGGGAGGGGGTCTGGGCCTGGGGGGTGGTGTGCTCAGGGGGGTGGAATGTGGAGCAAGTCTGGGCCTGAGGCAGGGCGTGCTCAGTGGGGTGGGTAGAGGAGAAGGTCTGGGCTTTGGCAGGAGTGTTCCCAGTGGGGTGCACTAGGGAGAAGGCCTGGGCCTGGGCGGAAGTGTGCTCATGGGCGTGGCCTCGGGAGCAGGTCTCAGACTGGGGGGTGGGTGTGCTCAGTGGGGTGGGCTGAGGAGAAGGTCTGGGCCTTGGCAGGAGCATGCGCAGAGGGCTGAACCTGGGGGCGGGTCTGGGCCCGGGCTGGGGCCTGGGCTGGGTCAGAGTCTGGGGTCTTAGTCTTGCTCTCTTGGGGCAGGCGGAGTGGAACCACATCCACCTTGCTCATCCTGCGGAGCTTGGAAGATGTCTCTTACCTGGAGTAAAAGTTGGCTTGGGACTTTAAGGCTGTGACCGGAGGGGCCTCCCCAGCTCCCACTACCCGCTCCTTCCACAGTCCCTGTGGAGCCTCCGTGGAAGCCCCAGCCCGTCCACACTGAGGCGGCATCCAGCAGCACTTAGAAGCCTTCTCATCTTTTGTGTCTGGTATCCAGGATTCAAGGTGGTTTGGGTGCCCGAGCAGGAAGCTTGGGCGATGGCGGAAGCGGGAAGAATCTCTTGAGCACAGGTTCTTGGGATCCAGGGAGCAGCGCCTGCGCATGCGATGGCTGCCTACACAGCTGGCTTGCTTGTCTGCAGGGAAAGGCAAGATGGGTCAGGGCCTGGGTTCCTGAGGGGCTGAGAATCAAGGCAGGGGTAGAAGAAAGGGGACAGGCCCACATCCCCTGAGCCCACGCTGGCGCCCACTCACCTTTGGGGAAAATACGTTTGAAAAGTGCCCGCAAGAATCTCTTCAGATGCCTCCAGAGCTGAGGGAAGAAGGGGAGGGGGGAGGCCGGGAGCAGGGTGAGCCCTGAAATCCAACCCTTGTCCGGCCACACCCCAGCAGCCCTCCCAACCTCAGCCCCTTCAAGACCCCAGGGGTCCCCCAACCCCGCTGCCCAGATCCTGCCCTGACCATAGTCACCACGTTCATCCCCACGTTGAGCAAGATGAAGCTGACCGGGATCAGAAGAATTGAGTCTCCTAGCTCCTGGCGTGTCCTGGGGATGGTGCCAGAGCATGGCTCGGCTCGGCAGAGGGCTCGCTCACCCATGGCCGGGGGTCCAAGGACTGCCTGGGTCCCCTGGCCTCCATATAGTCACTGGGAGCCAGACTGGGTCATAATGGGGCAGGTGGTGAGGTCACAGTGAGGGAGGGGGACGAAAAGGAGGGCCCAGGGTGGCATTCCCCTGGTAACCAGGGTCAGGTAAGCTGAGCCTGGACAGTCAAACAGGGCCCGTAGGCCGGCACACATCCCCTCGAGCGGTCATTCATTCGCTCACCGCCCGCTGACTCACTTGTTCGAATGACACATTCCGTCTCTTGGCCCCTCTTGAGACTAGGAAGACCTTGGCCTCAGAGCCCTGCGGAAGGCCTGGCTGGAGTCCAGAGCCTCAGCCTTCTTCATGCCCTTCACTGGGCCTGGAGCTGGACCTGCCCAGATGTGGAACCTCCCAGTTTGGAAGCAGCTTCTTGTATGAGGCTCTTTGGGGACAGGGAGAGCTGAGACACAGAGGAGGTGCCCAGAGACCAGGGGTTTGGAGTCTGCAGCTGCAGATGTACTTAGTGCATGGTATAGGACCAGGAGGGGCCTGCTGGCAGGACTGTGGCCACTGAACCAAAGGGACCCTCAGGCCAAGAAGGGGACACTGGCTTCTTATTGCAGGAAGCCAAGCGCAGGGACCCAGGCTGGCAGAAGGAGTGGCGCTTCCAAGCCACAGACCACCAATGTTTCCTGGACTCTGGCGCTCTTTATTCCTCTCTCCATGCCCTGCCGCCCCCCGCCCCCGGCCCCATTTGCTACTGGTCAGTTCGTTTTCCCAGTCTGGCTTGCCTGCAGAGAGGGCCTCGAGGCCGAGGTGGAAGGTAGCAGCGAGTTGGCCCGTGCTTGGCTCTCCTGCACTTGCCGCTTCAGCTCCAGGCTGTCATACACCTGGTAGTTGGCATTGCCCCCTGGGTTCCGCCTGAGTGGCATGAAGGTGGGTGGGGGTGGAGGGTGCTCGGTAGCCTGGACGTCGGGCAGGGGCTGGGAGGGGCGGAGGAGCAGCGCTGAGCTGGGAGCCGGGGCCCGCTGGTCCGAGGCCTCGGCCAGCACCGTGAGGGAGGCGGATGTGGCCAGAGGGCGCCGCACGGGCAGCATCTCAGCCCATTCGGCCGCCCGGCACCGCACCTCGTGGGGATCCTGGGAGTAATTCAAGTGTCCCGTGAAGGGGTGCGGGCTGCGGTTGGGCTGGCTGTGAGCACAGCTGGGGAGGCTCCGTCCGTGGGCCGGGGAGGAGTTGCGCTGCCAGGCTTCGGGCTGGCAGCCCCAAGGCACCAGAGCGGATGGAGGCTCAGAGCCCTCCAGACCACGCCGCCGTTGATCCCAGGAGTCATACGGCAGCTGGCCCCTTGAGGGGTAAGTGCTGTGCCCCCCAGGGACCCACGAGGGGTTAGGGGGCAGCCGTCGGAGAGGTGGTGGAGACGAGGTCCACTGGTCAGCCTCCACGTTGCCCCAGATGCGGGATGGTGAGCAGGGGGCCCCGAAGGACTGCAGCCTTAGCTCGGACTTGGCCTCCACATGCTTGGCTATGCGGTGCAGCTCGGGCGACAGGTAGAGACAGGGTGGTGGCAGGCTGGCCAGGATCCCACCCTGACGGCCCCAGAGGCCCACGTTGGAAGGCAGGCCCATCTGCTTGTAGAGCCCTTCCCAGCAGCCCCACGGGTACTTGGGTTGTGGGAAGGAAAGGTCATCTTCCTCCTCCAGGTAGGAATCCGGGTCCTCCCGATCAAAGGAGGGCATCGGCCGCAGCTGTGACATCCCGTGGCTGCGATGCGGCCTACGGAAGCCTGAGCGGCTGTAGGGGAATTGTCTGCGGTTCTTCGGCCTCCGCTGGTGGCTGCAGGGGCGGCGGCTGCAGCTGCGGCTACGGTTGCGGAGATGATGGTAGGAGGACAGGGAGTAGCAAGCGGGCCGGGCCATCTTCACTTCCACAGTGTCCAGGATGCAGTGGATGTGGACATCTTGGGCCTTGGCTGGAGGATGTTTGGGGGAACTTTCACAAGCCTGCGAGATTTCATCTGGGGGAGGCGAGAGTCCGTGAGGGCAGGGCGACTGTCAGAAGAGTTCAGGGTTGGGAACCTGGGGGCCTGGGTTTCTAGGGCCCTGGGAGTGGCGGGGGCGGGGTACCCCCTACCTGTCTTCCGTACTTACTTTTCTGATTAATCCAACAGATGGTCTTGTCTAAGGCATTCTGGAGCCCATGCCATACCTGGGTGGGGTGGGGTGGGGTGGGTGAAAATGAAGGCCAGGCTCTCCACCCTCACTCCCCGTTCCCGCCAAGACCGTTCCTGCAGACGGAGGTGCAGGCTGCAGTTCCCACCCTCAGCCCTCTTCACCCCTGCTGGTGGTCCCCAACCCTTGCTGACCATAGTTGCCATGCTGATCCCAGTGCTGACAAGGCCCGGCAGCAGGAGCAGGAAGTCCTCCACATTCTGGGTACTTTCTTGGTATGGATGGCAGCACCTCAGGTTGTCATACCAGAGCCGGTTTTCCACGGTGGGGGGGTCCTAGGGCCACCTGGGCCGCGGGCCGCCCCCCCCTGCCACCGGCCCTGACCCACAGTGCAGTCATGCCAGGACCTGCAGACACCCACCAACAGGTGAGGGAGCATGGTCACAATGAGGCACGTTGCACGGAGTCACAATGCCGAGGTGGCCAATCTTTCATCCACTCAGCTGGCCCTTTATGTGGCCATCTCTGCCCTTGGCTCCCACTACATGGAGCCTAGTCCCCAGAGTTCAGTCTGCCCTTCTGTCTCCAAGGGGCCTTGCTTAACTTGATTTGCAAGCATGGTTGCTACAGATGAGAGACAGTCTTCATAGGGACTGAATCATGCATAAAGGATTTCCTCCATTTCATTGTTCGAGACATTATAGCAGCTTATGTAGCCTGTTGTTATTCTCCACCCACGCCTGCTTGGGGCCAGCAGCGAGGGTGACTAGATGGACGAGTGACAGTAAGAGTCCCCTCTGGGGTCACCCCACTGCACCATCCCCTCCTTGTCCTGCCCATTTCCCTGTCATAACCCCTCTAGTACCCACCGTACCCACCCCTTCCTGGCCGGGGGTTGCAGCCTTAGGTGTTGGTGGTCACTGAGCCCACTGGCCCCTTCGCTTCAGAGCAAGGGTTTGCCACCTTTGCCAGAGACCACCCCCAACCATGGTTTCTCTCCTTCCTAACCAACTGCCCTCCCACTGAGCCAACCCTCCGAGTTGAAAAACGGTTAGCTGCTGTCTTGAGAAAACCACATGAAATTCACAAAGCACAAAATAGATGTAATTGTGATATGACAAAAGGAATCTACTATTATAAACAGGGTTCATTGCTGGGGTCTGTGAAAGTGGTACCTGGGGAACCTCAAGTCATTTTGTTTGTACAATGAACATCTCAACAGATATAGAGGAACCGGGAATTCCCGGGAGGTCCAGCGATTAGGACTCCACGCTTTCATTGATGAGGGCCCCGGTTCAATCTCTGGTTGGGGAACTAAGATCCTGCAAACCACACTGCATGGCCAAAAAGAAAAAAAAGAAAGAAAGAAATAGAAAGAGCCAGTGGGCATTTTCCATCAAGACTCCAAACACGTAGCAGGTGCTCAATATAGACCCACTTAATGGAATCAGCTTAAAATGATCAATAACGTTAGTCAAATGAAAATGAAAAGAGAAGCAGGGTGATTCATAGAAGGCCCATCTGCTCACATTCCAGGAACCCATCTGGTATGGAAGGTGAGGTCTAGTCCCTTCGACCTGGCTCCTTGTTCCCAGGTTGTGTGCGTGTGTGTGATCCCAAGTGTCTAGAAGTAGGTAGGGCCTGGGTTTCCCTGCTGTCCAGTGGATGCAATATCCCGATGAGTTTACATGGGAAACTGAGGAAGGTGGGAGGAGACTCTGATGGGCCAGCAGCAATGGGAATCTACCTGTGGGAGCGGGGGGATGGAGCGTCTGAGGCCATGAAGTTGATCCTTGGTGTCCGTGTGACCATGAATAAGTCACTTGGCGTCTCTGAGCCTCAGTCTCCTCATTTGTGACATGGAAGTGCTAATCAGAGGAGTGAGGGCACACAGGGCTGTGTGGACGCAGCCCTTGAGAGTGTCCTTAATATTTTATCCTCCACTCCAAGCCTTCTCGAGTATACAGGAGCTTTGGGTTCTGACTGGGGAACTGTAAGGGCCTGGGTACCCTCACTCTCAGCCATCCCTCCCCAAAGGAACCAGGGCTTCAGAGGGACCACACCTCACCTGTAGTTACAGCCTAAACCAGGGCTCTGGTAGGAGCCGGACCTCTGAGAGACTGAGGCCAGTACTGCCTGGGGACCTGGAATGGGATTTGGGGGGCTTCCCTGGGCACTAGAGAACAGAGTAGAGGCAGGTGGGAGCCTTGGAACCAAGAAGGGCCTGGGGAAGGGCTGAGGACAGGGCCTGGTGAGGCCAAGAGGTTGATGAGGGTCCTCAGGGCTCTCTAGGCCCTGTTGCCAGGGAGATCATTTCCTTAGCAACCAGGCTTCTGGGTGTTGTGTGGGCCCTGGCACCCCCCCACACCACCACAAACCACCTCCTCTCTTCTTTTTATTCTTCTTCCAGTCACCTCTTTGTCAGGGAATGGTATACCCAGGCCTTTCCCATCCCCTCAGCCGTGCTGGATCCAGAGACCGGGGGGGTAACAGTGGGACAGGGCCTCCACCTCCCTGGTCAGCTCCCGCAGCCGCCGCCTCACGTCTCTGGCATTATAGGCTACGCGCCCTGAGGAGTGGCGCCGGGGGATGTCTGCGACGTGGGCCGGGCCCAGGATGGGTGGCTGGGCTGGCGGGCACTGCTCCTGTTCTGCCTGGGGCACCCCCCAACCGTTCTTGTGGCTCAGGGCCTGAGGGCTGTGGGGCGGGGGTTCACAGGGTACGCGTAGGCCTCTAGGCCCAGCTCTGACTGCCTCTCTTTTGAGCGGCCTTCCCTCTACAGTTTGCTGGAAGCGGATGGTCTGGGTAGGTGGCTCCACGGCATCCTGGGCCCAGGGAGT